GAAACATACAATTGTCCCTTGCTTACTTGAAGGATTTAGACGTCTTATTTCCCTCACTTACTTGCAGATCTTAAACCATTTGTTTGTTTGTTTATGTCACCCATCTCCCTACAAGGTGAAAAGCTATTAGAAGCAAAACCATGGAAAAGACAAAGACAAACAAGCTCACATGTCCAAATGCCTCAACGATACATACAGAGAAGAAACTGCAACACCAGTTTCCATAAAGAGGCATGTGTGTGGAAGATAAAGTCCAGTTTGGATATTGCAATTGGGACTAAGTCTATCTTATCAAAACACATGGCTCTACTATATCTAATATCTCAGGGGTTGCCACAAAGAAGAGGGAGTCAAGCTATTTTCCAAGGCGCCTGAAGGCAGGACAAGAAGCAACGGGTGGAAACTAAGCAAGGAGAGAAGCAACCTAGAACTAAGGAGAAACTTCCTGACAGTTAGAACAATTAACCAGTGGAACAACCTGCCTCCAGAAGCGGTGAATGCTCCAACACTGGAAGTTTTTAAGAAGAGACCGGACAGCCATTTGTCTGAAATGGTATAGGGTTTCCTGCCTGAACAGCGGGTTGGACTAGATGACCTCCAAGGTCCCTTCCAACTTTACTATTATTATTACTGCTTGGATAGGTTCGCTCTGGCATGTCCACGGGATGTTGGAAAAGCTATTGTTGATTTTTAAAAAAAATTAAGTGAGAAGATAAGTTCCACAAGAGGATTGTGGGGTTACATTATAGGAATACAGTCTTCTTTGGGGGGAAAGTCCAACACTGTATTTACCTTCTTAAAAATCTATATTTACAGCAGGTTTGGATTGAATCAAGACTTAATCATATTTAGAATACAAGTAATCCTCAATTAATGACTGCCCTATTTAGCTGCTATTTGAACAGCGCTTTAAAAAGTACTTGAACTTACAATAGTCACAGCGTTTCCATGGCCATGTAATCACAATTTAGGCTCTTGGCAACTGATGCACTTTTAAGACAACTGCACAATTGGTTTCTGATAAGCAAAGTCAATGAGGAAGCTGTCAGTAAGTTGCAAGCTGCAGTCACATGAAGTCCCACTTAATGACCACAGGTGATTTGTTTAACAACTGTAATGGAACCTATGTCATAGGTTGGGTGTGATTATGTGAGGTTTCATTTAACAACTGTGTTGCTTAATGATGGGAGTGCCAACTGCAGTTGTTAAGTAAGGGCTACCTGTATATTCATTGAAATGATTGAAACTGTCAAGAATAATATGCAACCTATTAATTTAAATAGATTTACTCTGTTTGGATATACTTCAATTCTAGGGGACAATTGATACTTGTAGATGAATAGAAGACAATTAGGATAACAATTCATCCATTCTAGTTATTTTTTTCATTTTATTTTTTCAAATATATGCTTGCAGTTTTCTCTTGTGCACTTCTGAATACACACTGATCACCCAAAGACTCAGTTCTTAGGAACTCAGTTCTTAGGAAACTCAGTTCTTAGGAAACCACAATGGGTTAATGCTCTTTTCTTCACAAGGCCGGCTGAAGGGCCGTCAGTCAGTATTCTTTCAAGAGAAACTTCACTTTTTTTCCTCCAAAGATATGTCATGCTTCTTCACAAATGACCTTTCTTCTCATAAATGCTTTCTATAAAGTCACGTAAACTCGGGAAGACAAATTTTGGCACCAGCAATACTCTAAAAATATTTCCTTTAATAGTAGATGATTCCTCCTCTTCTTTTAAAATACTGTACTTTTGAAGCTACTTTCAAACCTATTATAAAGATTGCTGTTAGGTGCAGGCGCCCTTTTAAGTAATTTTCTCTCAAAACTGTTCAGTGTTTTCCTCCATCTCTCTAATGGGGAAAAAAGGAGCAGAACCAGTGATTTCAGCAAAGGCTACCAAGCAAAGCTATGGCCTACAATGTAAAGTCTTAATTACATCTCCAAGCACAACAGATTGCTGCTGTAGAATGGTAATCATTATAAAAAATTTAAGGTACCTTTAACTTCCCTTTTGAATCTGCCTGGAGTTTAAGTTCAGTTCTGAAGAGTTAAGATAACTGGCACCCAAAAAGGGGTGTTTTCATTGAATAGTGTGATAGTCAAGAACATGAGATTGTGATGTATCACTTAAAGTCCGCTCACCTATGGCTGGATATAACCCAGAGCTTCTACACAGGTTTTGCTCTTGTTCTACTTCTGCATGGGAAGCCCTGTTAGATAGAGTCAGTGGGCAGAGACATTTAGACTGTGTTCTATCAAGTTTCTTCCAAAAATGTTAATTATTTTATTTTGTAGCTCAGAAAGAGGCCGTGGAATTATGTCTGAGGAGAGCAAAACTGGAGCAGGACTATGGATGTCCAGAGTGGAGAGTCCAATCTTTATGTAGCATTTGTTTTGGGATGTTATGTGCCAGGACCACTCATCATACCTGGACGTGGGTTTCACAGCATTGCCATGAAAACTAAATGCACATATTTAGCTTGTCATTCTCTTCCCAAAGTTCAGAATTTGAAATAAATTACAATGATTCCACAGAAGTAACAACTGACAAAAGAAGAATTGACATATAATTGGGCAGATATCTGGCTTCTGGACATTTGCTCAAATTACTGAAAAGTTACTAGTCTAACAATTCAAAGTTTTCCTCTGAATAAAAAACTAAAGACTTTTTTTTCTGCATAAAAGTAATTTGAACATTAAATAAATTATTAGGGTGATTGAATCTAAGCTAGATCACCTACTTCAACCTATGCTTACGTAATGTACTGAATGATGTATTAAAAATCACATAACTCCATTATTTACATAAGTGACCATATATCAACAGGTTTTTTTGTACTAGATAAACTTAATCTCTGAAGAATCATTTATACCTCACTGCAACGAAACCCACTGACATTGCAACTTCTTAAAAGCCCATATTAGTTCTTTGGGTTACATCAAAGCCTGTAAGATGAGAAGGATGAAATTAGAATTTTCCACTTATATCCTTGACTGCCTCAGAAAAAACAACCCTAGTCACCAAAAGCATTTGGTCACATTGCAACATACAAATCTGCATATGTAGACTAAGATAAGTACAGTATGAGCAAGAATAGTGCATGTGTGTACGTGTGTGTGCACGCGTACATAAACACACACATATATATATATATCTTACTTTATTTGAGTTGTAAATTTTATCCTTTGGATGGTTAAGAGTCAAGCATTTTCTAAGAGCTATTATTTTATTGTTAGCATAATTATCTAAATATAATAAATGATTTCATCAGTTTATATTGAAGCCATTATTCTGGCTTATATTATCTTTCTCAGCTATTTTGTTTCTAATGGCCTATGAACAACCATGTTCTCATCTCCCTGCTTTTCAGCAAGTTCCCCCTTTTAAAAGCAGTTGTTTGCTTCTCTGGCATCCATAAATATGATTTAAAAGCAGTGATGGTGCTGTCTAAAGGCTCTGATGTTGGTGGTCTAATTTCAAATACAGCATAAAAGTCCCAAACAGTTGGCAATCTGGCATTAACCACACCAATTAGGGCAGGCTATTTCTAATTCAAAAGCGTAAACAGTAACGCATTGATGAGCCATGCTGTGCTATTTTGACTTCAGCTGATTTCTTTTCAGACAGTTTGATGAGACTAAAACAGTAAATTCAAGCATTTCTATTTGTGTGCTGGTACAGAACTTCTTCATCTGCTTCCTTGGAATCTGGCCAGTTAAAACCAAACATTCTAGTTTTAGCGTTTTACAAATTAAGATACTCAGACGGATAAAGGATACAATCACTGCTTGCTAGACAAGAAAAACATCTCCTGCTTACCACCCAAGTCAAGGAAATTCAAACCTTGAAAAGTAAAATGAGATATACAGTCAGGTTTTCCCTTTCTACTTCTTTCATAGAGAAATTCCTCAGCGTTTGACATCTTAAATGGATTTTGTTGAGGAAAATGCAGTGATGGGATGCAGTGATGGGATTCAACCGGTAGCTAAATTTTGTTGAGTTCAGAGAACTGGCTGAATGCACACCGCTTCTGGAAGTCTGTTCTAGACCTGGGAGGCCTGGAGGAGTCCTCCCAGGCCTACCATGGCCTGCCAGAAGTGCGGGGATGCCACTTCCGGAACTCCGTTCTAGGCCTGGGAGGCCTAGGCCTGCATCCACGCAGAGAACCAATTGTTCAGGGATTTGAATCCCACCACTGGTTAAATGTATAAGATAAAAGTCTATAAGCCACCCAAATGTAGCTACATGAAATATGCACACCCTGCTCCTGTGTGATCTTTTACATAATATTGATAGCAACAAATATTCTGTTTCCCCCAGTGCCCCCTGCCCCTCCCCCAATTTCTCCAGACCATGAATTAGGGAAAGAGAAAACTAGTAAATACAATACCAATTCATTCAACTCCAAGTTATCAAAGCCACAGATTTATGGCTCAGTTTGGTTTTAACTTAGTAAGCTGTATTGTATAAATTCAGCCACTGTAGTATTTAAGCAAAACTAACCACTATTGCTCTGGTCTTCCCATGCAATTTTTCTCTGCAAGAGACATCTAAGTGTTCTGAATTAACAAGATGTACCAAAGAGGAACTCTTGAAACAGTTGTGCCTATGTTCTATTTTGGAATAAAAAAGTGTAGCCTGGGAATGTGTAACCTAAAGTCTTCCAAAGTCTTGAATATGGCTATCCAAAAATCCTTTTAAAATTCCTAACCAACTTGTAATTTTTAATGAGATAGAAGATGGAAAATATTAAACACATAGGAAATAATCACATTCAACGTACTTCATGTGCTTCCTTTATCTACTTTGGCACTAGCATGCCATTCAAACACCACAAGCAGACCCTCTTAGTGTGGGAAGAGTTGTGCACCTCTGGGATGGGAATACAAAAATTCAGCAGAGGACATGCGTGTCTCCCCCATTTCCTTCCTTTTTACAGAATTGCTATGTTGAGTTATGGATCCAATCCCACTCCTTTCCCTCTGCACATACCTGACATTGTCATGTTTCTGGATATAAATTTTATGAAACATCATATCTTCTTTTTTGGCATTAATGTCAGCTTTCATCTCCATGGCAACATGGCGAGGCAGTACAGAAAGCAGGAGACGCTCCTGTGGAATCAGACAGATAAACCAATTAAAACACCTGCTCTTGCTTCAATTTACAACACAGACATGTCTCTCTTTGAAGACCATGCTAGCAAAATGAAACTGTTATTCTGTGATGGAAACAGAGAACCAAACGTATTTCCCATAAAGCCTGCCCTTATCAAGTCATCTAAGATTCTATTCCACTTAGTCAATAAGCAAATCAGGGATGTCACACAGAAAGGGGTTTCCTCCAGTTACAGTTTGGATGGTCAGCTGGCCTTAGTCCCCAATTCAGTTGTGAAATTTCAATTTTCTTATGTGGCTACAAGTCCACTTTCTTATATTAGCGAGGTTTTGTCTATATAGCCATAAGAACATAGGTAACAGCAAGTATTATGAAGGAGAAAAAAGTCATTACTTAGGTCCACTTCTTGCATTTTTTTTCTTTGTATGCTATAACATAGTCACCTGCAAAAACGTAGGCGTGAAATTTTATGTTCCAATAAGTGAACAGAAACTGTCACAACCTCTACAAAGTTAAATGCAGCAAAGTTTTACATATCTGGATATTGACATTATGTGCATTTATTTCCAGAATCAAAGTAAGAAAATAGCAAATATGGCTGGTGCAGAAGTTTTGACACCCCTCCAGTCAGTATTTCATGAGGCTCATTTGGCAGGAATAATGGCTTTCAAAATAATAGTTTCTTTTAGCCAGCTTAGAATCTTTCTGTTCTTGATTTTGAAAGCTTTTCCCACTCTTCCTTGCCATTTTTTTCCCAACTCTCCTTTGCTAGCTTAGAATCATTCCCTGGCCTCCCTGCATGCATCTTTTCAAGGATGCTCAAGTCTGGGAATTGTGAAAGTCATTATCTTTCTTTTCTATAAATATTTCATATTTGATTGGAAAATGCATTTTGGATTGTTGCCTTACTGAAATATCCAATCTCTTTTCCATTTCAGTTTTTTCACTGACTGTAGGACCATTATTTCTGGCACACATTGATAATTTGACTCCAAACTATCATTGACTCCATTTTTCATTCCAAAATGTGTCACGGGTTGCCACAACACCCCACAATATAACAGAGCCCTCCAACCAACACCATAGAATAATTGAATATATCATCCTTTTTTCTCCAAATGTATCTTGCGTGGCTCTGAACAAACACAATTTTATTTCAAAAGTTCAAAGCACTTTTTCCAAAATATTTCAGGCTTATCAAGATTTTCTTTTGCATGCTTTAAACAATGGCTTTTGTGAGGAGATAAGTGGCAAGGTTTCCTTTTGTCAACACTCCATGCAGAGTACTGTTTTATAAGCCAAACTGTACTGCAGACGTATGTTTTAGTATCAACTAACCCTCACAGCAGCTTGTCTGTAGTGATTTGTGGGTTTTATTTTGCAGATCTGACCACTTTTTCCTAGTTCTCCATATTTTGCCTTGATTTCAACTGTTCTATATAGGTAGCATTCCTTAACAGTGTTTCTCAAAACTGAAATTGCTAGTTGGAAGCCTTTAGACATTTTTAATAGTTTTAGACATTTGTTATAGTCTTTCCTGGCTTTGTAAGAGTGAATTATTTTCAAATGCTTAGGCAGCTGCTTAGAGAAGCCCCTGATTGTTGAAAACAGACAGAGAAATAATCAAATGTAAGAGGTTAGAAGGCTCACAATATTTGTTTACCTATTAAATTGTTCTTGCGCGGCATCTTATGTTTTGTGATAACTTGTATCAGCTCACAAAAACTGATTGTTAAAAAGTTTGTGGAATTTTGCAAGCTGGTTTGAGAGCACAGATGCCACAACACTTAGGGCAGAACAGGGCTAAGGTAGTAATGAAGCCGGTTGTTATGGTTTCCAGCACATTACTGTAACACGTTTTGGCTTTTCACCCAACATGAATGCAAGATGGCAGGTACAACATTTTGATCAAAGACCCAGCATTTTTGTACATGCATGCCACACTAGTGCATGTACAAAAAGAGTGGGACTTCAATTGGTATGTTAAAAAGAGTGGGACTTCAATTGGTATGCCCACCATCTTTGCAGTTTGACCCTTCTCCTCCCTATGGATTCACCCAAAGTTGAATCCAAGTTTCACATTGGCTACAAATAAGACTTTTCTAATCTGGTAAGGATATTAAAGCTTCTAGATCAGTGATGGCGAACCTTTTAGAGACTGAGTGCCCAAAAACTGGCCCTGCCCCTGTTCCACCCCCTGCCCTGTCCCCGCTCTGCCCCCCATTCCCCGCCTCGCCTGTCCACAGGACCACTCACCACCTCCAGGGCCCACCGCAGATCATCAAGGCAGCCCAGCAGCGCTATGGTGGCCACACCCTCTGCCCGCGCCCTGCAGCATCAACTGCATGATGGGGTGTGAGGGCAGAGTCTTGTCTACGCTGTCTGGCTGCCATGTCCCTGGCTGCGTTGCTCTGTGTGGGCCACGTTCAAGGGCGACTCTCCTTCAGGGGGGCTGCTGGAGAGGAGTGGGTCGCGGGGGGAGGCAAGGCTGGGGCAACAGCACGTGTGCCCACAGAGAGGGCTCCGAGTGCCGCCTCTGGCACCCATGCCATAGGTTCACCACCACTGTTCTAGATCTATTGGACTTTGCCCATGGAGCCTGAAAAATCAGAGGCAGACTGTAGAAATTTTACATTTTCATTGCTAAACATATCATTATCATCATTTACCTGCTGCTGGTTTTCCCTCTGAGAATGTAGGCGAGCTTGAATGCATTCCCTTGTTTCCTGAAAGGCCTGTCTTTGGGACACCTCAGCTGGATAGTGTGTACACACTCCTACAATGTTTGTGCAGATGAAGATGAGGATGTTGGACACCAGCTGCAAAGATCATATGAGTAGGAGAGAAAGACAAAGCAGGTTATGTTTTATAAACATCTTCTAAGAATAGACCTATAACTTCTACATCTCTTCGCTCTGAAAGCATACAGGAAGATGGACTGTATATACCATTCTAAGAGCATCTATATAAGCTCTTCCTGCAAACCACCGACTTCCAGGTCTCAAGTAGTGATGAAAGCTAATGTACTGTCACCCAAGTGTAAAGGTCTGTGAATTCAATTCCTAGTAGAGTCCAAACTCTGTAGAATAGCATCTGGCTACTCATGTAGAGTTGTCAATGTGATCTGTTCTTTTGATAATGGTTACTCCTATTGCACACTGCTTATAATTTATAAATAATTGCCTACCTGCCAATCAACAAACTTTTGGTGTTATTATACCTTTTTCTGAATCCTTATGAACCAGATGAGTTTTTTTCAAATCAGCTATAAAATATGGTAATTATGAGTGTCCCAGAATGTAGATGGAACAATGGTTAAAGATGTTTATGTTTTTCCTAGACAAAATCTTAATTACTCACCCACAGAGAATCTGGCTAATCCTTTATTATTATACATTATTGTTTAATCAGACATTAGGGCCTTGTAATTGAATTGTTACAGTAAAATATAGGACTACATGGATGCCCTTTTAGGATATGCTTTCAAAATCACTTTACAGAGTCTTATGCCCTAGAGATGTTGAAACACCATTGTAATTCAATGTTTCTTTGTTGATCTTTAGAAATATATTGAATACAGTATCGTAAATGTACAGTATATGCTTAAAATGCATTTCTAAATACCATTTCTACACTGATGTTTTCTGGAAATATTTCAATCTTGGCCCGCCTATCAAACATGAATTTGACCACTAATGTGTCTAAGACTGTATACCTATTTCTACATGATGACTTGTGGAAGTAAACACACTAGGTTTTTGATGAATGACTCCAATTAGTAACACTTACAAGCATTTCTATATATGCATCAAAGTTATATATGGATCATCTCTTCCTTCTCGCATCTGCCTTACATTTCATGATAGGGTTCAACTTTGGTGAAGAGCTTCTAAATTTAATTTCAAATAAATTAACAGAAAGTTGTCTTACTGTGATTCAGCTATTCAACCACATTAAAGCTGACCATGGATTGACCTTTGTGTATGTAAAATCATTCAGTGTGATTTTAAATCATAATTTATGATTCTGTATGCTACATGAACCTGAGCAAATATAATTTGTTCAGTAAGCCATAACTAAAGTATGGCTTCAGGTAGCCAGTTAACTCAGTCTATGGAAATATTAAAGCAACGTAAACAGATATTAGCAAAACTATAAGTAAATTAATAAACTGTCTATTTGATATTGTCTGCTTAAATATTTTAATTTAATCTAATTAATTCCCTGAAGATGTTAAAATGGGACCAATAAATTTAAAATATTTTTACATATTGATATTATGTATTGCCACAATCAATCTTCTGAAGAAACATTATTTCAAGTAATGGCAACCATTTAACAGGTTGCAATAGTTACAGATCTAAACTACATATTATTTTTGTCTTCTGCAAATGATAAAAAAGACAAAGATGAACATAGACATATTACTGTTAGTGTAATATGGGTTTTTGTTTGTGCTCAAAAATTAGATGTTAAAATCTGAAACTTTCCTGATATAGTGAATTGTTGCAATTATTCTCTAAATTATTTATTTTAGATAATAACAGACAATGATAATGTAAAACTGTATTTGATATTGTGTATTTTTAACAGTTTTGTACACTGCCTATGGAAATATGCTATCAAGGCAGTTTAGAAATGTAATTAATAAACAGACTCTAACAAAATTAATAGCCGTTATTTATAGCTGCTGTAAATACTTAGTTTTATTTAGGCCATGAACAAACCATTGTACTTGGAATATGGCTGCAAATCCCTGCTCATTTATCTGGATGTAATCCTGCTAACCTCAATGTTGCTTACTGTATGTATAAGTAGAATTGTTCTGTAAGTAAATTTTCATTTTAATCAAGGCTTATGCCTGTTGAGTTCACAAACATTTCAATGTTGTTCTCTTGGCCACAATACTAAAATGGCTTGCCATTGTTTCTTTTGGTATGTTTTGTTGATTTTCCAGTCTCTTCCAAGTGCAAAATTTTCTTGTGGTCTCCTGCCCAAATATTAACTAACACCAAAGCTAAATGTTGACACTTAGTGGAGGGAGTTTCAAGTACCTTTCTTAGATAGCAACTTAGATAGCAACTCTCACTCCACTAGAGCCATCTGTGCTCCACAAAAGTCTCTCTAGATCTTGGGGGTCTTCCTGAATAACCTGAGAGGGGAGGAAGTGGACTGTTGGGAGAGGAAGAATATTTCTCAATATTGGATCTTACGGATCCCAGTTATTCAGTACAGATAATTTATGTTCTTATGTGAGAGACATTTGTTAAGTGAGTTTTGCCTTATTTGACGAATTTTCTAGCAACAGTTGTTAAGTGAATCTGGCTTCCCCATCAACTTTCCTTGTCAGAAGGTCGCAAAAGCTGTTCACAGGACCCCAGGACACTGCAACTGACATAAATATGAATCAGTTGCCGAGCATCTGAATTTGGATCACGTGACCATGGGGATGGCTGCAACAGTTATAAGTGTGAAAAATGGTCATGATAAGTCATTTTTTTCAATGCTGTTGTAACTTCGAATGGTCACTAAATGAACTGTTGTAAGTTCATTGTTAAATATTTGGGCATTCAAAGAAAATTTGAATAATGTTTTGCTTTAAAGATCCGCAGCAAGCAATGGCCTTATATGGTCGTAGTTAAAGTTTGTGGCTTTTTAAATGAGGTAGAATGCTTTTTGAACTCTGTTAATGAGGAATAAGCCTTTTAAAACCAGGACACGAAGTCTGAAATCTACAAGATGACAGAACGAATTACTGACTGCATTGCCTCCTTCTGAGATGATTAATAGCAAATGGTGCGCCACTGTCTTTCAGGATACATGATCAGGTTTTTTTAAGCTGACAAAAAACATTATAGTATGTTCACCCTAAATCTAAATTAATACGCTTGCTCTTTTTCCACTTGTAGTTTTTCCAGATGATGGATTTATTCTCTGGAGCCCATGTACTGAAGGAATCAGGGAGCAATTCCATAATGTGTGACGGTGTGGGCAAATCATCTCATCAACTCAGCAGTCAAGTACAATGAATTCTTCCTGACTTTAGAGCATCACTGAGAAACCAGGCCTCCGGAGTTTTTTATACCGCAATGAGAGCAGCGATTGTACCAATTATCCCGTTGCAAATCTCCATAAAATCAAGGTGATGAGCTATCCCAAAATAAACAGGAGACCTGGTTGAAACTATATTTTATGCATTGCTTACCTAATATGAGACAAGAATTAAACTTTTAAAATGAGATTTCTGCACCCTATTCCTACCCTGAAAGCAAGTATAACTCATAACTATAAGGGGGTGGAATTCAATTAAGACACCAATAATGAGCTTCAAATTTCTAAGTCATGGCTAACATAACTTGATTGAACATGTTCTTGATTACCTGACTATAATACAGAAACTGCTTATGAACTAGGAAAAAAACAGAATAAAAATTAATTTTAGAATTAATAACAGGCTCATATTATTCGTATCATAACTATAATGTTGCACATAAATTAATACAAAATGCAACCCTGGCATTTTTCTACCTGTAATTCTCCATCTTCCAGTTCTTCTGTTTATTTAGCTGTCCAAATGTCTCCTGATCCCTGATATAATACAGCTCTTTCTTTGTTGCTCAACCTTCATGCTGGAATTACCTCCCAGAACAAAATGTAGAAAATACTTCTCTTTCTTCTTTTTTCATATCACAGTTACTTTTCTATTATACCTCTGGAACAGTCCTCCAAAATAACCAGCACATGACTATCAAAATGTGGTAGAAAATATCATGAGGGAAGTTCTAAAGAGTGTTTGGAAATGATTTACAATAGTGTTTCTCAACCTTGTCATTTTGAAGATGGGTGGACTTCAACTCCCAGAATTCCCCAGCCAGCCAGCAACACTGACTGAGGAATTCTGGGAGTTGAAGTCCACCCATCTTCAAGATGCCAAGGTTGAGAAATATTGCTCTACAGTATTGCGAACCATATTGTGAATTCTAACATATTTATCAGTAGGACGCAAAACTAAAATCTTTTCTCATTTCCATGACTTTTAAAAAATGTATTAGTTGAATACCACATCATTATCATTGCAGCCTCTCTATAGCTCTCTCTAATTATGCTTAAATTACATCTAAACACACATGCCTAACCATAATAATTCATTAAAAGTTAAAATGAAAAATATAAAAAATATAAGCTTCTGTATCTCTCACTTTTTCTTTCATCAAGCAGAAAAGAAGATCTTGAAAAGGAGAATTGTTTGATAAGTGGATCTGGAACCCCAAATTAATAATACGTTCTCATGCTGGAGAAGATAGTCACTTCAGGATGGTGAAGAAATAATACTTGGTCAAAACCAATGTCTGAATACATATAACTGAAATCAATGGTCAATGATTTCATATAACTGAAATCAATAGTCAAAAAGGTTAAGTTAGCAATTGCCACAATTCAAGCGAAGCTCTACTCTTTTATGTGCAAGATCACATGGTGTTAATACCACTTTACAATGCCTTAGTAAGGCCACACTTGGAATACTGCATCCAGTTTTGGTCACCATGATGTAAAAAAGATGTTGAGACTCTAGAAAGAGTACAGAGAAGAGCAATAAAGATGATCAGGGGACTGGAGACTAAAACATATAAGGAATGGTTGCTGGAATTGGGTATGTCTAGTTTAATGAAGAGAAGGACAAAGGTGACATGATAGCAGTGTTCCAATAACTCGGGGGTTGCCACAAAGAAGAGGGAGTCAAGCTATTCTCCAAAGCACCTGAAGAGAAGACAAGAAGCAATGGATGGAAACTAACCAACAAGAGAAGCAACCTAGAACTAAGGAGAAACTTCCTGACAGTTAGAACAATTAATCAGTGGAACAACCTGCCTCCAGA